CCGGTTCGGAGCTAGAGCCTGATAAGCACCGGTTTTTCCTGTTCACACCGCAGCGGAGCCGCCTCTAAGCACCGAAAACTGGTTTGTTTCAAGCACCAAAAAGTTGTCGGTCTAGAAGCAAGAACCGCATACGTCACGCTTACGTCAGAGGGGGGCGAGATTAACCTGAGCTAACAGTTAAAGGCGAGTACGTTGTAACAAGCAGTAGTGCTGAGCAAAGTAACTAGAACGCAACCACACACTTATTAAAAAAAACACACTTTATAAAGTCAGGCAACACTAACCAGGCTTCGTGTGATTCTGTTTATTTGTACCTTACTTTGACCATCCGTTCGCTGTTATTGATCATTGTGGAGAGCAGGCAGACGTTTTGTTTGTTATTATAGCAGCTATCGGATGGAATCAATACATGGGCTGCACAGGTTGTCATGTCCGACTATCACAAGTAGAATCATAATGAAAAATACGCCGGTAAAATGTGCCTGTAGAAAATGGCTTATGCCACAATAGGATAGCAACAAGTAGTCAAGTTATAGTCAGTTTAGCTTTGGTTGCTATGCTAACATCGCCCATTTTATACCAGAGAAACGTTCATAACAGCGTTGTGATGCCAAACAGCGGGCAGCACTGCAGCGGTCGAACCACGGCACTCTGGAGAAAAAGTACAAGGGTTGAGAAGTAGTTATTTAATTTAATCTGGCTTCGTATGATTAAAAGCAACATGATCATCGACCCGACGCCGTTGGGGAGAAAATCAGCGACGTAACGTGACGTCGTGACGCAGCAGCAGTCGGGCTCTGGGCGGTGTGAACAAAACGGGGGCTGAAAAGAAAAACCGGTTCCGAACCAGAAGAGCGCAAGAGGAGCTACAACAGGAACCGCGTTGGTGTGAAAGGGGCAACACACACGCCGTTAGATCTCTGAGCTCCTGAAGAAACGTGCAGCTGTGATGAGATCATATTTATGATATCCTCTGCTTTCATATCTAACACCTCTATGGGTTCATTTAAAGTCTGTGAACATCTCCACCTTACAAAGAAGGCTGGAAAACAGCAACTTTAGTCTGTTCAAGATATCCTGAGAAACACAACTAGACATGGGGCGATATTTTTAGGGTGTCCGCTGAAAAGTAAACCGGTTCAATTCCCGATTCCCTTGAAAATTACAGGCAATGTCATCCTCTTCCCATTTCAACACTGTAACCCCAATAAAGGCACTCTTCAGCCCAGTGTTTCGGCCAGACCAGGGCTGAGAGGGCGTCCACCCCGAGAGCGGGGGGAGTGACGTCACGTCGTGTCACGTGACTTGAATTTTGAATTGAGCCATCCCTTATAGATACTGGGTGTTTCTCAATGTCGAGTAAAGCTGCTCCAGAGCCACTATTTCAAGCATACTACGTCATCGAGTGCCGCCGAAGGACTGTTCCAATGTCCAGCATACTTGGAATTCTACCGAGCCCGGCGTACTTCGTAGCGAGAAATTTTGAGGCTGTACATGTGTAGACTCCGCGGTCTTAAAATCCCCACAATGCTTTGCGCACGGACCAATTTCCCCAAATCTGTGGCAGAAAATGTAAGGCGGGGCCTCTCATATGACGCACACCTGCACAATTGCTAGCGTGTTCCACTCTTTGTTTTCCGAATGCCAGGAAGTATTCTTGCCTCGCTTCTGAAGCAAGATGCTCGGAAGACATGTGCTACCAAGCAAGCGTACTCGAGATTGAGAAACACCCACCATCTCTTTACGTATTAGTGATGGGAATTCCGGCTCTTCTTAGTGAGCCGGATCATTTGGCTCGGCTCACTAAGAAGAGCCGGCTCTTTCGGCTCCCAAACGGCTCCTCATGTTACCACAGTTTACCACGGAGTCTCAGTTTCGCCGCTGCGAGGCTCCGGCGCTCGCAGTTCAGGCGCGTGCTCCACTAGCACCCCCCGTCAAGGCTCGCTGGCAGTACACTTTCCGTCACAGGAACACGCTTTGTTGGCGGCGAAAATAATCCCACCAGACTCCTTTGCCCCTCCAACAGAGGGATGTCCTGGTCCTTTTTCCTTTTCGTCATTTCAAGCGATAAAAACTCTCGATCTTCTCTCAAATGATTTAGTTTTTTGGACGCCCTTGGCTCGAGTTCAGGGTGTTCCGAGCTGAATAAGAGCGTCAAATGACGGCAAGACGCCCCCCTGGCGGAAACGCTGCTTCAGCCCCAAATGATCTTTTAAAAAAAATCTAGAAAATAATCTAGAGATAAGAAATGAAATAGAGAAATGTGCACACTATTTAACATGCATCATATGATATATATACAGGGATGCATTAGTATTGATACATTTTTAAATGGTTAGCTTTGCCTTTGTGTGTTTATATTATTGCAATAATGTAAAATAACTTTTTCCAATATACAAACGTTGTAATCTTTCACACTTTACTCTGCTTTTATTCGCACACATCAGACTGGAGTAGATACAAATTCCCCAAAATGCACTCTCTAATCAGGGTTTTAGAAAACAGTTATCTAGAATTGCAGAGGTTTTTTTTTTGATAATCACATTGACAGGGTTCTTCACTACCAAGAGGAAAACATCAAATCAAATCAAACTTTATTTGTATAGCCCAATATCACAAAACACGTTTGTCTCAGTCGGCTTTACAGATTAACATTAAACATGAACTAAAGGTCTCATGAATGAATGTCTTTTAGCTTTGTATTAAAGGTCTCCTATTGTACTGTTTTCATCAATATATCACAGGTCTCAGATATATCCAGAGCCTGTCTCTGATTGGCTGAAACACCAAACAGATCATTGCAGCATTACCCATAATCCCCTCTGTTTCAGCCCTGTTTCCAAAGTGCTGATTCTCTGTCTGTTACTTTAGATGAAAATATGGAGCCCCTCCCCACGCCCCTCTGAGAGAGATTTGGTTACAAAGAACTCAATGGTGCTCTAGGAGGAGATTCAGGTGATAAGGTGGAGGGGGGGGGGGGGGTTACCTTGGTTGGTGATTGGCTAATGGTTACACAAGACAAAACATTGTTATGACATCATCAAGTGGCTAAAATCTGATCAGCTCATTTTCAGACAGGTTTTTATAAAAATGGATCAGGACAAAAAGAGAGAGAATCTTTGTTCCTGAAACTTTCACAGTCTCTTTACACAGAGGGGACACATGTTGATGTAGAAGAGACATGAAGAAGAGGGGACACATGTTGATGTAGAAGAGACATGAAGAAGAGGGGACACATGTTGATGTAGAAGAGACATGAAGAAGAGGGGACACATGTTGATGTAGAAGAGACATGAAGAAGAGGGGACACATGTTGATGTAGAAGAGACATGATGAAGAGGGGACACATGTTGATGTAGAGGAGACATGAAGAAGAGGGGACACATTGTGATGAAGAAGAGACATGAAGAAGAGGGGACACATGTTGATGTAGAAGAGACATGAAGAAGAGGGGACACATGTTGATGTAGAAGAGACATGAAGAAGAGGGGACACATGTTGATGAAGAAGAGACATGGAGAAGAGGGGACACATGTTGATGTAGAAGAGACATGAAGAAGAGGGGACACATGGTGATGTAGAAGAGACATGAGGAAGAGGGGACACATGTTGATGTAGAAGAGACATGAAGAAGAGGGGACACATGTTGATGGAGAAGAGACATGAGAAGAGGGGACACATGTTGATGTAGAAGAGACATGAAGAAGAGGGGACACATGTTGATGTAGAAGAGACATGAAGAAGAGGGGACACATGTTGATGTAGAAGAGACATGAAGAAGAGGGCACACATGTTGATGTAGAAGAGACATGAAGAAGAGGGGACACATGTTGATGTAGAAGAGACATGAAGAAGAGGGGACACATGTTGATGTAGAAGAGACATGAAGAAGAGGGGACACATGTTGATGTATAAGAGACATGAAGAAGAGGGGACACATGTTGATGTAGAAGAGACATGAGGAAGAGGGGACACATGTTGATGTAGAAGAGGACATGAAGAAGAGGGGACACATGTTGATGAAGAAGAGACATGAAGAAGAGGGGACACATGTTGATGTAGAAGAGACATGAAGAAGAGGGGGACACATGTTGATATAGAAGAGACATAAAGAAGAGGGGACACATGGTGATGTAGAAGAGACATGAGGAAGAGGGGACACATGTTGATGTAGAAGAGACATGAAGAAGAGGGGACACATGTTGATGTAGAAGAGACATGAAGAAGAGGGGACACATGTTGATGTAGAAGAGACATGAGGAAGAGGGGACACATGTTGATGAAGAAGAGACATGAAGAAGAGGGGACACATGTTGATGTAGAAGAGACATGAGGAAGAGGGGACACATGTTGATGTAGAAGAGACATGAAGAAGAGGGGACACATGTTGATGTAGAAGAGACATGAAGAAGAGGGCACACATGTTGATGTAGAAGAGACATGAAGAAGAGGGGACACATGTTGATGTAGAAGAGACATGAAGAAGAGGGGACACATGTTGATGTAGAAGAGACATGAAGAAGAGGGGACACATGTTGATGTATAAGAGACATGAAGAAGAGGGGACACATGTTGATGTAGAAGAGACATGAGGAAGAGGGGACACATGTTGATGTAGAAGAGACATGAAGAAGAGGGGACACATGTTGATGAAGAAGAGACATGAAGAAGAGGGGACACATGTTGATGTAGAAGAGACATGAAGAAGAGGGGACACATGTTGATATAGAAGAGACATAAAGAAGAGGGGACACATGGTGATGTAGAAGAGACATGAGGAAGAGGGGACACATGTTGATGTAGAAGAGACATGAAGAAGAGGGGACACATGTTGATGTAGAAGAGACATGAAGAAGAGGGGACACATGTTGATGTAGAAGAGACATGAAGAAGAGGGGACACATGTTGATGTAGAAGAGACATGAAGAAGAGGATTTTAAATAATAGGTGACCTTTAAATAAACAGCATTATAATCACCTCTTTCTCGTGTGTTCTGCAGACGACGGGAGTGGATCTGATGATGAAGTGCGTCCAGATCCCAGAGACCAGCGACAGCGTGGTGAGTCTCCTCTTCATCCTCCTCCTCTTCTTCCTCTTCATTCATATTTCAATGTAAATACTTCTTTATTTTATTTTTTATTTTACTTTATTTTGTATTATTTATTTTTTATGTTATTATAGTTTTCTTAAAATAGTTCTATCAGTGTTTTTTTTTTTACTTGTATGTTTGCACCACGACACCAAGTCTAATTCCTCGTACATGGCAACCTACCTGGTTCTGATTCTCCTCCTCTTCTTATAGCAGTCAGTAAATCACAGGAGGTGGGCGGTGAGAAATGAACTCCACCAGAGCATTAATACTGTTAGTTTCTCCTCTGTATTCAGTGAGCAACAGGGCAGCATTGCAGGAAGAACAGTGATACCCTCGCCACAGAGAACAGGGACATTTAAAAGCTTGTGATTTGACTAAAGCTTCATGTTTCACTCCTCCTCTCGTCCCCTCCAGGAGCTCTACATCGTAGACTCGGCAGGGAAGCAGACGTTAGTGGAAGCCTGCGAGAAAATGGTGAGACAATTACGTTTATTTTGAGTTTTTAACTGGTCAAATTCACCGTCCAGGGCTCCTCAAATAAAGTTGTATTTATTCAAAATGTATAAACGCAGGGGGCTGCTGGAGTTTAAGCAGAGGTGGAAGAAGTACTGAGATGTTATACGTAAGATAAAGTTATAATAAAAAGTTCTGCATTCACTTTTTACTTAAAGGGGACCTATCATGCAAAATACACTTTTTTATGTCTTTTCTACATAAAGATGTGTCCCCGGTGTTCCAGGGAACTCACGCAGCGTCAGAAAATAAATCCCTCTCTCTTTTCCTCCGTACCCAAATCTCTAAAAACGGGGGAACAACGGAGCTGATCCAGATTTGCGTCCGATATGACGTAATATCTGAAATGTGGACCCACGGCCCAATCAGAAAGTTGCTATCAGAAACAATGCCCGACTGTTTTGGACGTAATATGGTCGGTGTTTACATTAGCATCGCTAACACTCAGAGCTAACCTGTACTGGAGAGCATGTGTGTGAAGAAGCAGGAAATAAAAAGGAACTCACCTTGTGGTATAACCGGCAAGAGAGAAAGCCTTTGAGCTCCATACTGTTTCAGAGAGAATCCTTGATAATCCATGATATGGCGTTTCATCACGGCAGCATTTAGTTTAGACAGTAGCTGCCGGGTCCCGCATGAGCTCAGACCCCTATATACCCCAAATCAGCCCTTTTGAAACAGGAAGTGAAATAGAGGGATATGAGGCATGGCTAGAATGGGTGATCTGTTTGGTATTTTGAGCAAAACACTTCATAGACATGTTTTTTATATATTTTTATATAGACCTATGCTATTCCCTAACAATAGCATGATAGGTGACCTTTATGGAACAAGTACAAGAAGTATTGTCATCAAAGTATACTTGAACTAGAAGTCGAAGGACATTTTTCTGATAATTGTTGTATTATATTACTGGATTATAATAAGTGATGCATGTGAATCATTTAAATTATCAAGCTGTTAAAGGTAAAGCTGTCTTTTTATACTACCAGGTGTCTTAATCCATAATATTACATCTTACAGTTGATTTATATTTTATTCAAACCAAGTCATTACTAACTGATATAACTAATGTAGCTTACAAATGAAGTAGAAACTTATTTTGCCAATTAAATGTAGCGGAGTACAAAAAATACAATATTTGCTTCCAAAATATAGTGGAGTAAAAGAATAAAATATCTTTAAATGGAAATACTTAAAGAAAGGACAAGTACCTTAAGTGCTTAAGTTGACGTGCTTTCAAACGATTGCAGTATGAGCAAATAAAACATTTTAAAATATAAAAAAATACAATAAAGATCCCTTTGATTTGGTCACTAAGCGGTGGAAAAGTGTCGTAAACCAGCAGGTGGTTGACGGTTACAGAAAGGAGTTAGATTGTGTAGAAGTCTACGAGAAAATGACATGTGATGTAATGTAATGATATTTAACGGACAATAAAACAAAAACATTTAGAAATACATTTAAGAACAACTAAATAAGGTGACATGAAAAGGGCATTAAACATGCATTCTCTCTAATGTCCAGCAGGGGGCGACTCCACTTTTTGATCATATAGAAGCGAGAAAATGTGCCTACTTCTAACTTAATTAATGACACCAGTAAACATTTTCCTAATGATTTTATGCTCCCAATTTCTACCTCAGCATTTTGTTAACGTACCGTATTGACCCGAATATAAGAAGTGCCCTCTTTAACAAGACTCATTTTTGGAAAAATACCTTTTCTCTGACTGTTTACATTTTTAAGGTGTTTTTTTTGGGCTCGCCATCTTCTAATGTTACACTCAGTAACTCAATCTTCTAACGTTACACTCAGTAACTCCATCTTCTAACGTTACACTCAGTAACTCAATCTTCTAACGTTACACTCAGTAACTCCATCTTCTAACGTTACACTCAGTAACTCAATCGTCTCACGTTACACTCAGTAACTCCATCTTCTAACGTTACACTCAGTAACTCAATCTTCTAACGTTACACTCAGTAACTCAATCTTCTCACGTTACACTCAGTAACTCCATCTTCTAATGTTACACTCAGTAACACCATCTTCTAACGTTACACTCAGTAACTCCATCTTCTAACATTACACTCAGTAACTCCATCTTCTAACGTTACACTCAGTAACTCCATCTTCTCACGTTACACTCAGTAACTCCATCTTCTAACGTTACACTCAGTAACTCCATCTTCTAACGTTACACTCAGTAACACCATCTTCTAACATTACACTCAGTAACTCCATCTTCTCACGTTACACTCAGTAACTCCATCTTCTAACGTTACACTCAGTAACTCCATCTTCTAACGTTACACTCAGTAACACCATCTTCTAACGTTACACTCAGTAACTCCATCTTCTAACGTTACACTCAGTAACTCCATCTTCTAACGTTACACTCAGTAACTCAATCTTCTAACGTTACACTCAGTAACTCCATCTTCTCACGTTACACTCAGTAACACCATCTTCTAATGTAACACTCAGTAACTCCATCTTCTAACGTTACACTCAGTAACTCAATCTTCTAACGTTACACTCAGTAACTCCATCTTCTAACGTTACACTCAGTAACTCCATCTTCTAACGTTACACTCAGTAACTCCATCTTCTCACGTTACACTCAGTAAACACCATCTTCTAACGTTACACTCAGTAACTCCATCTTCTAATGTTACACTCAGTAACTCAATCTTCTAACATTACACTCAGTAACACCATCTTCTAACGTTACACTCAGTAACTCCATCTTCTCACGTTACACTCAGTAACTCCATCTTCTAACGTTACACTCAGTAACTCCATCTTCTAACGTTACACTCAGTAACTCCATCTTCTCACGTTACACTCAGTAACTCCATCTTCTAACGTTACACTCAGTAACTCCATCTTCTAATGTTACTCTCAGTAACTCCATATTCTAACGTTACACTCAGTAACTCCATCTTCTAACATCACACTCAGTAACTCCATCTTCTCACGTTACACTCAGTAACTCCATCTTCTAACGTTACACTCAGTAACTCCATCTTCTCACGTTACACTCAGTAACTCCATCTTCTAACGTTACACTCAGTAACTCAATCTTCTAACGTTACACTCAGTAACTCCATCTTCTCACGTTACACTCAGTAACACCATCTTCTAACGTTACACTCAGTAACTCCATCTTCTAATGTTACACTCAGTAACTCAATCTTCTAACATTACACTCAGTAACACCATCTTCTAACGTTACACTCAGTAACTCCATCTTCTAACGTTACACTCAGTAACTCCATCTTCTAACGTTACACTCAGTAACTCCATCTTCTAACGTTACACTCAGTAACTCCATCTTCTAACGTTACTCTCAGTAACTCCATATTCTAACGTTACACTCAGTAACTCCATCTTCTAACGTTACACTCAGTAACTCCATCTTCTAACGTTACACTCAGTAACTCCATCTTCTCACGTTACACTCAGTAACTCCATCTTCTAACGTTACACTCAGTAACTCCATCTTCTAACGTTACACTCAGTAACTCCATCTTCTCACGTTACACTCAGTAACTCCATCTTCTAACGTTACACTCAGTAACTCCATCTTCTCACGTTACACTCAGTAACTCCATCTTCTAACGTCACACTCAGTAACTCCATCTTCTCACGTTACACTCAGTAACTCAATCTTCTAACGTTACACTCAGTAACTCCATCTTCTAACGTTACACTCAGTAACTCCATCTTCTAACGTTACACTCAGTAACTCCATCTTCTAACATCACACTCAGTAACACCATCATCTAACGTTACACTGAGTAACTCCATCTTCTAACGTCACACTCAGTAACTCCATCTTATAACATCACACTCAGTAACTCCATCTTATAACATCACACTCAGTAACACCATCATCTAACGTTACACTCAGTAACTCCATCTTCTAACGTTACACTCAGTAACACCATCTTCTAACGTTACACTCAGTAACTCCATCTTCTAACGTTACACTCAGTAACTCCATCTTCTAACGTTACACTCAGTAACTCCATCTTCTAACGTTACACTCAGTAACTCAATCTTCTAACGTTACACTCAGTAACTCCATCTTCTCACGTTACACTCAGTAACACCATCTTCTAATGTTACACTCAGTAACTCCATCTTCTAACGTTACACTCAGTAACTCAATCTTCTAACGTTACACTCAGTAACTCCATCTTCTAACGTTACACTCAGTAACTCCATCTTCTAACGTTACACTCAGTAACTCCATCTTCTCACGTTACACTCAGTAACACCATCTTCTAACGTTACACTCAGTAACTCCATCTTCTAATGTTACACTCAGTAACTCAATCTTCTAACATTACACTCAGTAACACCATCTTCTAACGTTACACTCAGTAACTCCATCTTCTAACGTTACACTCAGTAACACCATCTTCTAACGTTACACTCAGTAACTCCATCTTCTAACGTTACACTCAGTAACACCATCTTCTAACGTTACACTCAGTAACTCCATCTTCTAACGTTACACTCAGTAACACCATCTTCTAACGTTACACTCAGTAACTCCATCTTCTCACGTTACACTCAGTAACTCCATCTTCTAACGTTACACTCAGTAACTCCATCTTCTAACGTTACACTCAGTAACTCCATCTTCTCACGTTACACTCAGTAACTCCATCTTCTAACGTTACACTCAGTAACACCATCTTCTAACGTTACACTGAGTAACTCCATCTTCTAACGTTACACTCAGTAACTCCATCTTCTCACGTTACACTCAGTAACTCCATCTTCTAACGTTACACTCAGTAACTCCATCTTCTAACGTTACACTCAGTAACTCAATCTTCTAACGTTACACTCAGTAACTCCATCTTCTCACGTTACACTCAGTAACACCATCTTCTAACGTTACACTCAGTAACTCCATCTTCTAATGTTACACTCAGTAACTCAATCTTCTAACATTACACTCAGTAACACCATCTTCTAACGTTACACTCAGTAACTCCATCTTCTAACGTTACACTCAGTAACTCCATCTTCTAACGTTACACTCAGTAACTCCATCTTCTAACGTTACTCTCAGTAACTCCATATTCTAACGTTACACTCAGTAACTCCATCTTCTAACGTTACACTCAGTAACTCCATCTTCTAACGTTACACTCAGTAACTCCATCTTCTCACGTTACACTCAGTAACTCCATCTTCTAACGTTACACTCAGTAACTCCATCTTCTAACGTCACACTCAGTAACTCCATCTTCTCACGTTACACTCAGTAACTCAATCTTCTAACGTTACACTCAGTAACTCCATCTTCTAACGTCACACTCAGTAACTCCATCTTATAACATCACACTCAGTAACTCCATCTTATAACATCACACTCAGTAACACCATCATCTAACGTTACACTGAGTAACTCCATCTTCTAACGTTACACTCAGTAACTCCATCTTCTAACGTCACACTCAGTAACTCCATCTTCTAACATCACACTCAGTAACACCATCATCTAACGTTACACTGAGTAACTCCATCTTCTAACGTTACACTCAGTAACTCCATCTTCTAACATCACACTCAGTAACACCATCATCTAACGTTACACTGAGTAACTCCATCTTCTAACGTTACACTCAGTAACTCCATCTTCTAACATCACACTCAGTAACACCATCATCTAACGTTACACTGAATAACTCCATCTTCTAACGTCACACTCAGTAACTCCATCTTCTAACGTCACACTCAGTAACTCCATCTTCTAACGTTACACTCAGTAACACCATCGACAGTTGTTTGATGACTTCGTTGATCAACATTATCTTAAAATTGGCCTTGTGACTTCGCCTCTCTTGTTTATTAACTCGCCTAATTTTGATCCACTTTGTTGGAGTTGTCTCTCCATCTCTCCCTCTCCTGTTGCTCTTACCGTACTTTAAGACGGTGAATTTCTCGCTTGGGAAACACTCATTTGGGGCGATGTTTTGTTGTGACTGTGTAATTACATCGAAAAGTCTACTTTTCAGATTTCTTATATATGTCTTATATTCTGATCAATATGGTACTTTGTTACATTCCAACACTGAGTATAATTGTGCCACAGAAGTATGAAGAATTAATCTGATGTGTTATTCTTCTTCTCTTCTCCTCAGTGGGGGGAGGTGTCGTTGTTGTGTCTGGTTTTCGACCTCAGCAGTGAGCAGTCGTTTGCAAACTGCAGCCACTGGATGGAGAGAGTCAGAGCTCACTGCAGAGGACGACACCTTCCAGGTAACAAGCCATAGAGTTTAAAACAATTGAGAATAAACTTACAGTCCGTCAAAAATTGTTAAATTGACAGTTCTGTGGACATTTCCATTGTGAAACTGCACCGTTAGGCCGACTCAGATGTTGATATTAAAGGGGACCTATCATGCAAAATGCACTTTTGTACGTCTTTTCTACATGTATATGTGTCCCCGGTGTTCCAGGGAACTCACCAAGTGTCAGAAAACACAACCCTCTCTATTTTCCTCCATACCCAAATCTCTAAAAAAGGGGCTGCAACGGATCTGATAAAAACTGATCCAGATTTGAACACTGTCCTGACGTCAGGACGGTGGCGCTACGGCTATTGGGCCAACTCCACCAATCAGGAGGAGACAGCCACGGCCATTGCCGTTCGAAAGCGCTGGAGACGCTGTAGTACATCTGCCAGGCCTGTAGATGGTGCTGTTCTCACTGAATCAGCCCTTGCTAAAACAGATCTAAAAAAGTGCAAATTGAGCAAAATGAGGCATGGCTAAAATGCATGATCTGTTTGGTATTTTGAAAAAAAAAAGTATAAATATGCCTTATATAGGTATGGTCCTACACTATATTATTCAAATATAGCATGATAGGTCCACTTTAAGGGAAAAAGTAAGGTAGAAAGCAATATCAGCTGATTTGAACCATTAATTATAAACCTAAGATCCCTAAAAAGCTTATTAACAAATAGTAAAGTAAAGGATAGGAGGAAATGACTAACATCTGCTCTCTGATATCAAACAGGTGGCAATAAGTCAGATTGTATGAGAAAATTACCCTACTTTTTATTTTATTTATTACCTCAGTAAACATTTTCCTGATGAGTTAATGGTCTCAATCTCTAGATTCAAGTCTTCTACAACACTGCATGATGTTGTGTGTGTGTGTGTGTGTGTGTGTGTGTGTGTGTGTGTGTGTGTGTGTGTGTGTGTGTGTGTGTGTGTGTGTGTGTGTGTGTGTGTGTGTGTGTGTGTGTGTGTGTGTGTGTGTGTGTGTGTGTGTGTGTGTGTGTGTGTGGTGTGTGTGTGTGTGTGTGTGTGTGTGTGTGTGTTGGTGTGTGTGTGTGTGTGTGTGTTGGGTGTGTGTGTGTGTGTGTGTGTGTGTGTGTGTGTGTGTGTGTGTGTGTGTGTGTGTGTGTGTGTGTGTGTGTGTGTGTGTGTGTGTGTGTGGTACCTGTCGTTGGGCTGTAGGCCTGGCCGATATTGGTGAAGACTTTACTGAACTTCAGTGATATCAGTGGTGAAGGGTCCGACTGCTCCTCAGAATACCAGTTCCTTTCATTAAACAACATTTTGGCTTCATAATAGTTTCTGTTTCTTACCTGCGTTCTCTCTCTTCACCTCCTGTGTCTCAGGTGTCTTAGTGGGCAACAAAACCGATCTGTCCACTAGAAGAGAGGTCCAGGCGTCCGTGGCCCAGGAATGGGCCGAAAGCCAGGGGTTGGAGTACCACGAGACATCGGCTGTAAGTGTATTTCACTCTGGATATTTATACATTTTGAGCTTAAGTAGAAAAAAATAAAAAAAACTGTTAATAATTGAGTTTTTGGGAGAAGGGGTGGGATTAAATAAGTGTAAACTTCTTCCCACCCCTTTTCAGATGTGTAATTAGGTAGATCATTTGTTTATATATAATTTGTAAGTCAATCATATTTTTGTTTATCAATATTGTTTTACACGTTCGAAGTAAATAGTAACAAATATAATGCAGAATATTATTGTGCAATAAATTGATTAATCAATTTATTGCACAATAATATCCTGCATTATATTTGTTACTATTTACAAAATATTTTTTAAAACTTTTTAATGCTATTTGATTTCTATTTCAGAAATATTTTGGACTGTTTATTTCTCGTGTCTTGCCTTGTTTTCTATCTATCCATCCATCTATCTATCTATCTGTCCATCCATCCATCCATCCATCCATCCATCCATCTATCTATCTATATATATATATCTAAATACCTGTGTGTTTTCTGCAGAAGGAAAAGGAGAACTGTGACGCTCCGATCCTCGCTTTAGCGACAGCTTTCCACTCTCTGTACCAGGAACACAGAGAGACCATCCAGAACCTGAGTCCAGGATAGACACACACCACCACACACACACACACACACACACACACACACACACACACACACACACACACACACACACACACACACACACACACACACAGAAACCCAGAGTACTTTTGTGCTGATAACTGGCAGAGAGGGACTTGTTCAGAATAATGTCCATGAATAAAGTTGTTTTTTAATATAATCAGTTGTGTTGAGCCTTATCTGCTCGTTTCCTCTTTATATACAGAAAGTTGGGTTTAATTGAGTAAGTGTTTTTGCCAAATCAAAATAATACCTATCTGATATCTGATGGAACAAATGGTCAAACTCATCCTTCCTTTCATTTGTTATGTTGAAAATGAAACAGAGGTACAATCCCAAGTTATCTTCTACAGACTGTCTCTTAACAGAAATATAAAAGGCCAGTGAAAGCTGAGACTCCATCATTCCTTAAAGACGTGTCTACAATCGATGACCACATGTAGGAGATACAGAGGGTTGGCACCAAGTCCTTCCTGGAGTTCAATGACCGCATGAAGGCGATACGCAGGGTTGGCAGCATGTCCTTTACCCCCGCCCCTCAACGACGCCCACCACAATCACCGAAGCAGAGACGCGCACCATCTCCCCTGTCTTCATCACCATGCCTATGTCAACCACCTCCCCCCCTTCAAGAAAGCATCTGCTGTCTCCGAAGCCTGATAAGAATGTGTGTGTACAAAACGCAGCAAACTCTAACTGATATGTGCTGGGTCCAGGCTCAAGGGCGTATGGCACTCTCAACTCTTTCCAGGACAAGCCGGGGCCCTGCCTGCCAGTATCTTTGCCGATATCTGTGTTGATAGGTAATAGATTAAGAGCGGTGAATCAGCTTAGAAACAGGAAGCGCTCAAACGTTTTTGTGATTCCATGTCAGCCACAGCTTGTCACAAAAAATCTGACTGATAGTGTATTTAACGAACTTAAACTAGCTTTATTAAATGTCAGGTCTTTGGCAGGAAAAATGTTTTTAATCAATGATTTTATCACTGAGCACAATCTGGATTTTATGTTTTTAACGGAAACTTGGATTGAACAAAATAACAGTGCAGCTGTTCTTATCGAATCAACCCCTCCCAACTTTAGTTTTATGAGTCAGGAAAGAATGCATAAGAAAGGGGGTGGAGTTGCTATTTTGTTCAATGATTCCCTTCAAAGCAGGAAGACATCTTATGGGGACTTTGCTTCTTTTGAATATGTGGCCCTTCAGCTGAAATGCTCCTCTCGAGCTCTGTTCCTAAATATCTATAGACCACCCAAATACTGTGCAAGCTTTTTTGATGACTTCACTGAACTGCTGTCTATAGTGTGTATTGACTTTGACCGTCTAGTCATTGTTGGTGATTTTAACATCCATGTTGACAACCCCCAGGACAGAGGGGCTAAAGAACTGTTTTGTGTTCTTGATAACTATGGACTGACTCAGCATGTGACGGAGCCCACGCACAATAAGGGGCACACTCTGGACTTAATTATCTCAAAGGGTCTGAATATCTCTGAGGTTGTGGTGACTGATGTTGCACTCTCTGATCATTCCTGTGTTTTCTTTGAGAGCTCTATTTCTGTTCACAAAAATGTTCAAAAAGAGGTAACCACAAAGCGATATTTAACTGAAAATACTAGGGAAATGTTTACTCAGAATTTTTCTTCCACACTTGCCCTTGCTAACATCTCAGTAAATGAGCTAGTAGATCATTTTAATTCTAAAATAAAAAATGTTATAGATGCCATTGCTCCAACTAAGATAAAGGAACTGGAAGTATCTAGCAAGAAAAGATCTCCATGGAGAAAGGCCTTGACCGTGAAAACAGAAAAAAGAGTGTCAAAAAGCTGAACGCAGGTGGCGAAAAACAAATCTCCAGGTTCATTTTGAAATCTATAAAGAGAGACATGGCTTTTATAATTTGGAAATGAAAAACGCACGACAATCGTTCTTCTCTGACATCATTACCAAAAACAAAAACAACGCACGTGCCTTGTTTGCTACCGTTGACAGACTAACAAACCCCCCAGTGTCAGTAGCCTCTGAATTTCTATCCACCAGGGCATGCAATGATTTTGCCTCCTTTTTCACTGACAAAAAAATTCAGAAAATCAGACAAGCAGTCAGTGCCTCTGCATCAGGTACAGCAAATGTTTTGTCCCTATGTCCACCTAATATCAATTCAAACACCATGACACAATTCCATCAGATTAGTGATAAAAACCTAGAGGACATTATACAACATCTGAAATCCTCCTCCTGCTGCCTTGATATTATTCCAACAGGATTTTTCAAAGATGTTTTTCGTTGCATGGCCTCAGATCTACTTCATATAGTAAACAAGTCTCTTCACTCAGGTGTTTTTCCACAGGCCCTAAAAACTGCAGTCATTAAACCGCTCTTAAAAAAGAATAATCTAGATCAGCGGTTTTCAAAGTGTGAGGCGCGCCTCCCTGGGGGGGCGCCAGAGAGCTTCAGGGGAGGCGCAGCATGAAAAAAAAAAGTAACGAGTACAAGATGAGTAAAGTGTCACTTGCACACTTTTGGCTGTCTGTGGAGACCGAGTTCCCCCACCTCGCCAAAAAGGTTGTAAAAGTGCTCATTCCCTTCACCTCCACCTACCTGTGTGAGTGCGGGTTTTCCGCATTGACTTTGGTCAAATGCAAGTACTGGTCAAGGCTGCAGCCAGAGGATGATCTGCGTTTATTCCTGTCTACATTGCATCCCCGCCAGAGTCCTGCACGGGTCTGATTTTCAAGACCCGCTCACGCCCCGCACCTGCAACGTGCAATACCGAACCTGCCCCGCCACCCGCACATATTGCCAATTAGTTCCGCAAACCGACCCGACCCGTCGGCACAAGATCCGCAAACCGACCCGAACCCGAATATCCTAGGAGCACTGAAAACATGCAATTATTAACACACGCAGTTGCGTATTTGGCTCAAAAAGCGTGGGATGTTGGTTAATTTCTCCATCTAGGATGACACCAAAAGCCTCCCAGACGTTGGATTTCGCTCTTGAGGAAGAGTTATTTACAATGCTGTATTCTCCGCTAGAGCTTCACCTCAGCCATTTCGAATGTGGCGCGCTCAGCAGCAGATTGATGCGGTGCAGAGGTTATGATTATGCGCGGTCCCGCGGGGAGAGGTCTGAGGAATCTTACCACCCGCGAATCACTTTTTTTGCGGGTCACCCGTCGGGTACCGACCCAATGCAGGACTCTGATCCCCGCAGGACTCTGATCCCCGCATCATCCGCCTGTGCGCATCAAAGACGCAGACTCATTGTTCCCAGCACTAAAGTAGGGGTGAGTGTAATAAGGAGGCAAAGTTGATGTTCAGTGTGTTGCCGGGAGCATATAAGGATTCATCCACGATGTTGAAAATGTAAAAATGTTTTAAAACACATATTTAAAACATAAAGAAAACAAAAGGTTTTAAAAAGTTATTTTTTAATGTTTTTAGGAGGTGATGCTACTCAGCCAGTGGGCGGCGCCAGAGCATTTTTGTTGGGTAATCTATGGTAGGGCTAACCCATACAGTGGTGGTGCTCAAGTCAGTATTTGCAATGTAATTACATACACGCTATATCGCCCCCCTTGACAGTAAACGCCACGCGTGAGGTTTAGATTATTTCCCTGTCTCAATCAAAATGGAACTGTATGAAATAAAACGGCACATTTGTCTTGTAGTAAATAAAAAGGGATCACTGTGAACGTGACGTATGATGGTACACGTTGAAGATCCAATGGGGATACTGAATGGCGGTTTCGATTGATCTCAATCAATAAGGCATGACGCAGATCCAACGTTTCGTTGCTCTGATTGGCTGTAGGTCTATTCAAATTGCATTCGGAGGCATTTTGATCTGACCGCGGCCGCGCTGATATTATAACGCCAGAGAATTTCCACACCTTTAGTGTATAAAACTCCCCCACTACTTAGACTATTCCTTGCACCCCTCTTATAGCATAAGCCCGAATGGTCTCAACCATATTGCATCAGTAAGGTGCACTTATTGTTACAGCAGGATCAGTTTGTGTGCTGTGGACACGACCCGTATATTTTCGCAATCCGTGTTCTCAACATTTAGCATTTCGCTTATTATTTAATTGAATTTGCATCACTTTTCATGGTGGGGCTATGGTGGGGCTAAGCCATTTCTTGGTATGGCTGTAGCCTACCCCAGCCATACCCTGGCGCCGCCACTGTACTCAGCCAATCAAATCGGTGCAGTGAGTGAGTCAGCACGAGAGATTCAAACACACAGAGACGAGACAAGAAGAGAGAAACAGTCGGAGTAACTTCAAATGGCGTGCTCAAAAAAGAGAAAGGTAGACAGCGAAAACAGAGCATTTAATGACATTTGCTCTTACTGGACCTCTTTGAAATGCAATTGAATACCCCTGCATTATAGCAACAACAACAATAATAATAATAATAATAGCAATAATAATTGGGAGGGGGGGCGCGGCTGTTCTCATGTTCTCTGAGGGGAGGCTCACCTTCCCAGACTTTGAAAACCCCTGATCTAGATGCTTCAGTAATGAACAATTACAGGCCCATATCAAACCTGCCATTTCTAGGTAAAATAATTGAAAAAGTAGTTTTTCAACAGTTGAGTAACTTCTTGCATTTAAATAACTGTTTGGATGTGTTCCATTCAGGATTTCGTCCAAACTACAGCACTGAGACTGCTCTTATAAAGGTCTTCAATGACATCCACTTAAACACAGACAGTGGCAGACCTTCAGTGTTAGTATTATTAGATCTCAGTGCTGCGTTTGACACTGTTGACCACAACATATTACTAGACCGACTGGAAAACTGGGTGGGACTTTCGGCAACAGTTCTAAATTGGTTTGAATCCTACTCAAAGGACAGAAAAAACGTTGTTTCTATAGGTAAATACTAGGGCTGTCAGTCGATTAAAATATTTAATCGCGATTAATCGCAAATTTTTTATCTGTTCTAAATGTACCTTAGAGGAATCTTTTTCAAGTTTTTAATACTCTTATCAACATATGAGTGGACAAAAATGCTTTATGCAAATGTTTGTTTATTATCATTGGAACAATGACAAATATTCTCCTGAATATTCTCAACACAACAACCTGGAACCTCTCTCTCTCTCTTACACTCTCTCCCAACCCTGTGTACTTCTCTGTACTGAGCCAG